CAGGGGCTCCGAGGATCCCCTGCCTTATCAGGTGGTTGTTGTGGGGACCACGTGAGGTAATGTGTGCTGGGGGTTCGAGAATCGTTATCTCGTGTTATGACTCTGAGTATTCTCCCCACGCCCCGCCCCAGAATCCTAGCCCCCTACCTCCCCTGATCCTCCTCATGACTTCCCAGTCCTCACGCGGGACGTCCCGAACAGCTATCTTCAGGCTATCGGGCAGGTGCGAGAAAGCCTTACCCTTCCACAGCTGCCACCGTCCTCTCCTCCCAGATGACTCCACCCCCATGCCTCTGGCCTCGGTGCCACTGCTGTGCCCGGGTCTGGACTGTTGTGGATTTTTGCACATCTCCACCTGGACAGGGGCACCCACTGGCTAGGTTCAAACCGCCACCTTTGGTGTTTGAGCAGGAGAGCAGAATGACCAGGCTACACTCGCTGAGTCACACATGACTAATTAGCAAATACTCGTCCCACACAAGAGCTGCTTTCCCGCACTCCACTGTGACGCCCACCACAAAGCTGTCTTGCATTACTAATGCCACCTAGAGGCAGAAGGGGACACACACACACACACACACACACACACACACACACACACACAGTTTCTTCCCCAACAGATCCATCCTTGTCTTGTCTACACCCCAGCAAGTCCATTTCCTGCACCTTTGCACCCTTGCTACCCTTTGTCCATTCTCCACACTGCAGCCGAGTGCGTGCTTCTAATTATAAATCGCATTGTGGACTTTGTCATCTCCCTGCTTGCAACCTCCCAAAGGTTTCCCATTGTACTGAAAATGGAAGCTAACCTCCTTGCTGTCACCTACAAGACCCTGCGTCATCCAATCTCTGCCTACTTCACCCATCGCCCTGTGGACCTCGTCCCCTAGTCTAGTTCCCTAAGTGCAGACCATGTGACCTCTGTTTCTGCCAGAAGCGCTCTTCCTCAGCGGTCCATACACTGTGTCCTCCGGGAGGCCTCCCTGGCCGCCCTAACTCACTCAGTGCTCCTCTCCGAGCACTAGAAGTCTTCCTTCCTTACACCTACTACCGTTTAAAGTCCTTTTGCTTGCTTGCTTGACTGCTGTCTGCACGTTCATTAGAATGGGAGCTCCGAGACACCAGATCCAAGACTTTCGTTCATTCATTCATTCACTCCTTCGCTCAACAAGTATTGAGGAAGCATCTCGTTACGTGTAAGGCGTTGTTGCTTCCGGGGACAGCATTTCAGCCACAAGCCACTGCCCTGCACATCCACGTTGCTTGATAAATGTCAGTTGACTAAATAAATGAATGAATAAACCAAAGGGTAGGAAAAATATTGGGTTCAAAAGAAGAATATGGGTCACATATACATCGCTAATGTTAACCTGAACTTTAATGATGTAACGGAGACCGGCTGAGGTGCCCTATCCAACAGGGAAAATGCTCTCGAAAAGGCTTCCTCACGGGGCTTCTGAAATTATGCAAGAATCATTAAAATGTAGAACACGACTGTAAGTAACCAGGATGAAGACACCATGCATATTTCTTCTGTTAGCAGGGTGACCACTCAGTAACTTATTAGGCGTAATTTATTAAGTGCTCTCCTTGACAAATGGAAGGAAACTGTTTGCAATTAACCACATTCGCACTGCTGGTTTCGAACAGTAATTTCATGTCCAGAATTTATTGACTCTTTCAGGAAATTCTCAGAAGCTGCTATGAGCTAACGTCCGGGTGGAGACAGCAGAGAGAGTGTTTGCACAGGTTGCAGTGCCGTACCTGGTCCCAGCCAGAAACGCTGGGTTCTCTTCCTGTTTTCAGATAGCAGTTTGCTCTCCACGTAGCGTAGCATCGCTTCCGTGTGATGCCATCTGTGCCTGCTCTCCCTCCTTTCCATCACAAGGACCCGTGAAGACAGAAACCAAACCCAGGTACAGCAACTTCTCAGCAACTCAGAAATGGTGTGTGGTTTTGCTGTTGTTGTTGTTGTTGTTGTTGTTTTAAAAGGCCATTCAGTAATGGAAAGTAAGTTAACCAAATACTGACTTTTGCTAGTCCCCAGGAGGAGGACTCTAAATGAATGGCCGATGAAAAGGCCTTACAACAGTATATTGCATATTGGTGTGTCCCCTTAGAAAGGCCGAACATTATTTCCTACAAGTTTAATTACAGGTTGTTTTTCTTGATTCACTTTTTTCAGAGCACTTAGGCCAAGTTCCATCCAGGTCCACTTGACCTATATGCAAACTGGATTTGTGGGTCTGAATTAATATTTTATTGTGAAACTAAAAATCATTCTCATACCCGGTGTCGTATACTTACCCGAACATTCTCCGAAATCTCGTCGGACTCCTTTCTGTGCCTAGGTGTCAGGATAGTCATTGCTTTCTACAATGTGCTGTGACTCATGTCTCATCACTCTAATGACTCAAGAAGGGGACTCAGTGACATTCGTGAGTGGCAGAATGAGATACAAGAAGCTGGGTGAATTGTCTCTTCCGCACACTCCGTGGTGTGGTTTCACAAGCGAGAAATGCACTGAGGCTTCTGCCCAAGTCAGCTATTAGTCATGTGCTCCACAGTGAGGAACCACTGAATGTGTCTAGGATGAAAAATTTCTGTTACACGAAAACAGATGAATTGACAAATGGAGAAGGAGCCCAGGAAACCACATACACGTCCAACAGACTTAAGTCAGAGGGGAAAGGTGACCTCTCTAATAAGAGGTGCCGCAAATAACACATCTTAAACCCCGACCTCACACCAGGTATGACTATCAATTCCAGGAGCACAGATCTAACCACGGAAAGTAAAACAACAAGCCTTCTGGGAGAAACAGCATCTTCGTGACCGTGGAGCTATAAAGACTATTCTTAAACAGGACTCAAACTGCCAGTCAGAATGGGAGAAAAGGATACACTTCTATAGTAAAATCAAGAACTTGCTTTGATCTGAAGGACACCACTGAGAGAGTGAAAATACATGCCACGAGATGGAAAATAGTGTCTGTGATGTGTGCGTGACAAGCACTCCCGTGTGTACCACCCATGACCGTGTAGATGGCAGAGCCATGCTGGAAAGCTTGGGCAACGTCTGTGCAAACGATCATAGGCCTATCTCGCGGTTCAGGGGTTTTACTCCACAATGCACCCATGACAGAAACACACACATACACGCCGAAAGACACGGCAATTCGCACCTGTGAGTGGAATAAGCGATAAAGCAATTGTGTTGTGTTCACAGCCAGTCAGTGCAGTGAGAACGAGATAACTCCAGCCACACACATCAGCCTGGGTGTCTCTCACAACATCACATTGAGCAACAGAGAGAGACACAGATGACACAACGCGTAAAGGCATTGACACTGAGGGTAAACCAGGCAAAACCAGCATGTGCCCTGAGAACTCAGAAAACTCAGTTTTCTTTGCAAGGTTTGACATGGAAGGGGTGTGCAGGAGGCTTCTGGGGCGCCCCAGAGCTTTGGGTTTGATGTGGGTGCTGGGGACATGGACGTGCCCTGAGGGTTTCTGCATAAAGACCGAACACTGTAATGTCTCCATAGAATAAAATCCCACTGCAAGATATAATGTCTGAGTTTATTTTCGATTATATTTGGAGAGGCAGATTTTACATGATAGCTTCAAACCAACCGTCGTACGTTAACCAAATTTTACACACGCCGTTTAAAAAAAGATCTAAAAATGTGCTTAGTTACCGGTAGTATATAACGTTGATCAAGCACCAAGAGTGTGCTGAGCTGTATAGGACAAACAGAGAAACGACAAGTCGCTGCCTTCACAGACCCCCGTTCCTTCCGAGCCTCGCGCATAAACTTCACCTTACATTTCACACCCTTTTAGTCATAAGGCATAAATAAGGAAGTTCGTTGCATTTCTCATTGCTAATAAATATCCAGTACCCTTTCCCCCAACATGACCAACAATTACTAGTATCTTTGCCTGTAAATACAAATTTCTGTAGTATAATATACAGTATATATACTGATTTGGTATTCACACAATTGACCACAATATTGTTGCAGGTTGGTTATAGTATGAAGCATGTTGAATTTCAACATTCACAAATTTTTATCCACTTAGAATCATTCACTGTTGGCAGAGCTATTTTTGTTTAAAAAAAAAAAAAGAAGAAGAAGAGCGAAGCCATGGCTCTTGTATTGATAAACTGTAAACAAAACAGCACTGCCAAGATTCCAATACTCTTGGATAAGAACTCATGGCACATTCAGAATAGTGGATTTTAGCTCATCTATTCAACTAGCCTTGCAGATAGCAGGCACGTAGCCGCATGCCCTAAAATACTAGCAATTTGTGGACAGCTAGTCATGGGTGATATACGTGTGATTTGCCTAACTGTATTTGCAGTTTAAAGAACGGGGCTACTTTGTGTAAAATATCAGAAAACCATGAGCTGGGAAATATTTTTGCTTTTCTGCAAGGCTGAGTTCAAAGCAAATTCAGACTAGAAGAGAGGATGCAATGATTCTGAATCTAATCCTTGGCTAAGGGTATTTGATTTCAAAATAATCCCTTAAATAATAACATCCGAGTGTTCATTTTTAAAATGCAAGAGAAATGAGGTGAATTTTGAGAGTGTAGTGATTTTAGGCTCAGGCACAAGAAATTACACTTTATGTGAAAATGCCTAAGAGAGTGGTGGAAGGTGGCACCCAGTACCGATGACAGACCAGTCAGTCCCTGTGTCACTGCAGGGAGCTCACAGCAGCAGGAGATGAGAGGCGAATCTTAGAGGAAAGGGCAGATGTCTCATTCCCAGCCACACTCTGGCCCTGCCCCCAGTCTGCAAATAGAGGCACAAGGCTCTAGAGCAGCGGTTCTCAACCTACCTAATGCCGCGACCCCTTGATACAGTTCCTCATGTTGCGGTGACCCCCAACCATGAAATTATTTTCGTTGCTACTCTATAACTGTCACTTTGCTACTGTTATGAATCGTCATGTAAATATCTTTTTGTTTTCCGATGGTCTTAGGCGACCCCTGTGAAAGGGTCGTTCGACCCCCAAAGGGGTCGTGACCCACAGGTTGAGAACCGCTGCTCTAGAGTGAGTCTGGGGTCCAGGGAAAGAAGGTCATAACGAGCTTGGGGGTCAATGGAGAGACAGAGCCCAACCGTGAACTTCACCTTCTCCAGACCCCGAGACCCCAAGCACCCATCCACTTCAGCCATGACAAAGGCCCATAACTTGACACCAGACTCAGAGCCATCAGGCCGAGGAAACCCCTTTCCAGAGGAAACCGCCTTGCCTTTGGGCCGTCATTATCTGGTCTCCAGTAGTATTACCAGGTCTGGACATTTCCGGTATGTGGCAAAGGTGAGCTGATTTAAAAGCTAGAGCAAAACTACATTTCTCTGATTACCTCCCCAGCTGTGAGAGCGGTGGAAACAACTCTACAGGGTCGTGGGGTAGGGCTCATAGTCACGCCCTGCCTAGGTAGCTAGGCACGTGGCCCAGACGGGGCCCATTAGGAATAGTCACCCAAGGGCAGTGGCAATAGTGGTTTGGTCTATCCCCATGGTCCTACCTAGCAAACGAGGTGTCCAGTTGGGATTTGACAAGATTTTTCTTATCCTGGGCGAGTGTGTCTCCACCTCTCTGCAAATCACAGGGTAAGAGCTTGGAAACTACCTGTCTCCAGTGCTCTCGGGGCTTAGTCTGTGGCAAAGGGGGGACGGTGGGGACAGTGTGTTATAGGGCCATGTTGGCCAGGGGGAGGGCTGGGATGGCAGCTCCCAGCTCCCAAGCGTGGTTATCTAGTAACCCCTGTGGAGTGGGGGGGAAAAAATAAATAAATAAAACAACCTTATCTAATGTGCCCAACCCAAAACTGAGCACCAAAAGACAAAAATTCTTACAATAGACAGGAATATATGTATATTTTTTTCCATTTTCAATGATAAATTCTCAGTTTTCCATACTAAGGCGTAAGTTTCAGTCACCTAGTTGAAAATCCACACATAAACTTGGGAATGAAGTTGATATTATGAAGACCTCTACAAATAAAGGCTCACTACAGATGAAACATCCGTCTCTTAGTGTTATCAGCATGAAATGTTCAGACTACCCTTTATGGTGAAGAATAATGAATTAGACACAGTCAGCTAAGCGTTATTTGGATGTTTTGGGGATGGATGCTGGGCTCCTATTGCTTTAAAATCTGAGAAACTTCCCAAACCTCTTTCAGGAATTCATTATATCATCCAGAGTGATTGTTCTTACTACCCACATTTATTTATATCCCACCTTGTTCTCAGAAGAATCAAGGTAGGTAGTTTCTGTTCATCGGTTTTCTTTCGCCTGTAACGTGACATTAGAATCAAACGCTGAAAAGGATTCATTCGGCCCAGTTATGTCAAAGCACCATTCAACAGGTGGAGAACAAACTCGGATGAAATTACAATGGCTTCCTGTACACTGTTGCAACCTTGCTGTCAGGTTGTTTAAACAGAGAAGACGATAAACCCAAATTAGTCGTTGAGATAGACCTATAAATAGATAAACGGTTAAATGGAGTCTATTTTTTTGCACTGCTGATGCCTATTCAGAACTCTGGAGGGCGCTGGGGTGGTTGAGAACACCTCGGTGCTTTATCATGTTCCTGACCAGCTTTCAAAATCTCGTGAAAGCCACCGGAAATGGCCACCATGAGTGGTGCACGGCAACCATGGTTTCCAGTCCGAGTGTCCAAGCGTAGCCATCGTGTCTGCTCCTCAAGGCACAAGGTCAAGTTCCGAACTCCAGCTCTCGAGCGAGAAGCACAGTTATCTGTTTCCACCAGGGGAGGGAAGGTCAGGAAAGGAGCCACACCAAAGCAGGAATGGGGGACCCTTTGGGGTAGCCGTGATTTTGAAATATTGACCTTGCGTTGTTAGCAAGCAGCTCTGTCACCCTTGGGGTGGGGACGGAAGGTCTCCTGGCCTGGATGCCTTGGCCTGTTGTCAGAGAGAGCATGCTTCATCCATGGCTGATTTCAGCAGTTCTGCTCCTCCCAACCCTGGGTACAAGGAAGAAGGTCCAAATTGTTTCCATGAAGATCTGCAGCGACGACTGTAATGACAGAAGGCCAAGAGCGGAAAGCCAGTAGCCCTTGATCCAAGTCAGCAGACAAGTAACATCTGCCCTCTTACTTCACCTGCAATGGTTTAAGAACATCGGGAAAACAGAACGCACCCTTTCTCGTCTCGTCCTGCTATCTAGCTCCCTTAACTTCTCCCCAAAAGGCGTGTATTAAATGTCTTCTGTTTAATATATTCCCCACCAGGAAACTTCATCAAAATATAAAGGATGTGATTGATATTCCTTCCTCTTTTTTTTTTTTTTTGCTTGGAATCCGATTTGTATCGCTGCTTGATCGTCCCATTCTCTTGGCAGGAAAAGCTGTTGCACTTCTCAACGTGCATCCGAGTGCCATGAAGTCAGCGCTCACAGGTGCATAGGTTTCTCGCTGGAATGCCTGCTTTCTGAAGACCACCTTCAGCATTTGCAGAAACGCCCCCAGAGTTTCATCTCTGTTTCAACAAACGGTCGCCACACGGCCGCACGATTCTAAGCTACCGGGGAGGACACCGGCCGTCCCAAGCTGCACGCGCGTAGCGTCCATGGCTCACGATTTCATTGTGCAGATGGGCACGACGATAACCAGGATGACGGTGCAGGCGGCAGCAGCGATCAGAGCCGCTATCTTGCAGACCTTGGCTCTTCTGAACTCGGCTTCTTTACGTTTCAGCAGTGAGTCGTAGCCGGGAGTATAAATGTCTTCCATCCAGTATTCTAAGTTGTTTGGATTTAAAGACTCTTGTGTCTAAAAGTGAAAAGGAGATGTTAGAAATGCCAGGCCAAAGACATTCTGAGCATCGTCATGCGTGAAGCACGTAAGGGCAGTCCGCAGTGGGCAGTTAGAGATGACCCGTGCACAGCCCTGCCCACCAGCCCTGCCTGAGATGGGCTGCAGAGGATTCAGGCTCCCACACAGTACAGGTCGCACCTGCTCGTCCATCCCTCACTACAGATGCCATGATATTGTAACCCAAGGTCTTCTGTCTCTGAGCACGCAAGACAGGGCCGAGACACACGAGTCTGAAACGCAAGGGCACACGACCAAGAACGGGCTGGCCCCACTGCGGGAGAAGCATAAGTCACTGCCAAGCACTTTCCACAGATGGTCCCTAAGAGCGAAGCTGTCTGAACGGAGCAGGGCTGTCGCATTGCTCTGGTTCCGTCCCCAGTGTCTCAGAAAAGCATCTACCGAAAATTAAAAGGCGCCTCCCAGAGAAGCAGCTCAAACAAAACGTAAAATATTTCCATTCCAAACACCTGGCTGAGCAGGTCCAGCCACAGCTCAAAGCCAAGGTCTACAGCTGTGTGGTCGACCGTCCCCACGCCCCCCAGAGGCAGGCCCCCACAAAACCTGTCTCCCGGGCTCCCCAGGATTAATGAACTGCCTGCAGGAGAAATACTGTGTTTAACCTGCCTGGCCCATGAATCCCATTCCCCACGGATGGTTATAATCTATTTCCATAAAGAAAGGCAGTGTTCTCAGTTTATGGCCAGCATTTAATTAGATGTGTCACATAAAAGCAACAGCACGTGGCCGTTCCAGGGGAGGTCACCTAAATCTTTGAAACACACACAAAATATCCATTTCGAAGATCTTCTTGGATTGTTTAATGCTTATAAACACAGACATGTTAAAAACCACACACACACACACACACACACACACACACACACCATGTTCCTGGTTGAATATTGAGGGTTCTAACCCACGCCGGCCATTCTCTGCCTGTCTTTCAGATCCGTTCTCTGCTCATTTCCGCCTGCTCTGCGCCCCCAAGAGACTGGCCCACACGGAGGCATCACGAGGCTCCCAGGTGGGTTCACTCAGTGGGGTTGGGGTGTTTACTCCAGGGCCCCTGCTCCCCTATGGGCTGCAGCTCAGTTCAGGGAAGAGGCTCAGTTCCCATCAGGCACCCAGAGCTGTGGGTCTCAGAGGGTCCTAGAAACAGCCTCCTTCCCTTGACCTTCAGATCCAAGGTCAGCAGCCGCCTCTCGTGGGACTTCACGTGCTCTGAACCCTGCCCTCACAACCACCCAAGCTCCCCTCCGTAACCTGCCGAGTAAGCCCTCTGCTTCCTGCCGGGACGCTGACCCCCTGCCCTGAATGCTTTGGTTCCCTTATTGTTCCTGTTGTAATGGTCTCCTAGGACAGGGGTCAGGGATCACAGCGTGGGCCAAACCTGCCCACTACCGTCTGTACGGCCCATGGGCTAAGAGTGACGTTTACATTTCTAACTGGTTGGGAAAAAAACAAAGCATATTTTGTGATATGTGAAAATCATATGAAAGTCAAATCTCGGTGTCCAAAAATGGCATTTATCAGAACCCAGGCACACCTAGCCATTTATGCATTGGCTCTAGCTGCTTTTGTGTGACAGTGGCAGAGCAGCTGTGACCCAGACTGCAAGTCCCCAAGGCCTGAAGTGTTTACTGTGTGGCCCTTGACACCAAGAGTTTGCCACCCCCGTTCTAGTATATTCCATACAAACTGCATAATGGAAAGAGAATGGGACTCAGGGCTCGCCGAAATTCTCCCACGCCTCCTTCCTCACTGAGGCACAATGTTTAACGACTGTTGTCCAGTTTTCATGTTATCCGGAAGGGTGGAAGGCAGCGCTGGCCTCCCAGGATGCTCCTCCTGAGAAACAGGACACCCTTATAATGGAATGTCCTTCGAGGGAGTGGAGGGCGCTCTGTCCGACCCTTCGGCTTTCGCAGGAAACCCCTACCACAGCACCCTGTTGGGTCCGCAGAGCCCCATCTCCCTGACCACCCTGCATACAGCCCAGCTCTGCTGTCAGAGCCACAGCCCTGCCCCCAAGGCTCTGCCATCCATGGGCACTAGGCATTGTCTGACCCCCTGGGCAATTGCATGGACACTTTAGAAGGGAGAGGTGGACCCAAGGTGGTGTGGGCGGCACGGCCACAAAGGCGGGGTTCAGGGGGAGGGCTGGACCCGCAGCCCTGTCCGCCTGGCACCTGGAAGCCAGGCTGTGGCCATGGAGGTGGGTACAACCACTTCCCTTCCCCAGCTGGCCCCAGAGGGAAACGGGCATGTAAGCCAAACATCAGACTTCTCTTGTTCCTCCAGCTCAGACAGAAGGAAATTGGCTTCCTTCGCAGTTGTACACACTTTATAGGCTGGGATTCAGCCTGTGAAATAAAATATGTTTAATTAGGTTTTCCAATAACTGCAAGCTCTAATGACACCCAGTACCAGAGCCGTAACGGAGGTTTCAGGGGACCTGGGCGAGCATGCGCGGCAGGACTCCGCTCCCCACATTGGAAATGACATGGCCTGCACCTCGGCCTATGCCCGCAGGGGGGCGCCACTCGGGGTCCAGTTCTCACCTGGACATCGAGGGGCGGGGGGTGGGGGCGCAGACGCTGCAGCCGCCCTAAGACAGCACCCGAGTCTCTGGAAACAGATGGGGTGGCGCCTCCCCGCCTTCCTGGAGCCCTGGAAGCTGCCCCGCTAACAGCCCAAGGCGGCAGGGCCGCTGTCTCCCCACATTCTGTACCACTGGCCACACCTTCCCTTGAATTTCAAGTGACGTCACCTTAAGCTCTGTAATCTGAAGATCAACTTTTACTCTCTATAATCTTGTCTTTATGTTTATAACAACCGCTTGCATCTGTAGGAGCCAAACCTCCCACCCTCCTTCCCCTGAACTTTAAAACAGTGTTTCTGTCTGTGACGCATTCAGTCAGCCTGCCCCTTTCCAGGTCATCCTGACGCTGGCGAAATTCTGATTACTCCGCCACTCGAGCCATGCACACCTCCAGGTCCTTTCTGACCCGCCTGTTGCTCGTGGATCCTAGCGCCCAGGGAGCTTGGTGGGACACCATGGGACACCATGACAAAGCTGCACAGGGACCCACCTGCAGGAGAATCCAATCCATGACAGCAGGACGATGACAGGACAGGAAGTGGCCTGAAGGGACAAAGTGACGTGCAGCACACACGGGGACATAACGTGCAGGAGGGAAGGCGCGAGGAGTGTCTGCTGCCACAGCTGCCCCTGCCCATAACTGCTGTCATGTGGGGCCCAATATAAACAAATGTCAGTGGAGTCATTTTGGGGGCCCGAAGCTCCACGACACGCGCATCAAAAGAAAAATGAGATGGTGGAGGTGCGGGTTGTGGGTGGCCCGGGATGAACTTGGACTTGTCTGACCTGGGGCAAGTTACTGAGCTTCTCGGGACCTCCACGTCCTCGTTTGTCAACAGGAGATGACCATCAATGACCCCACTGTGAAACTGCTGAGCTGGCTGATCTCTGCGTCACTTAATCGGCCCCTAAATGCCAGCAGTTTGACTCCATCACTTCCAGTGCTCACCATGACTCTGCAAGGTAGATATTATTCTGCCCATGTAGCAGGTGAGGGGACTGAAGCTCAGGCAGGTGAAGGGGCCTGTTCCAGGTGACACAGCCACGGCACCCTGGGTTAGAGCCCAAGCTTCCTCTGCAGCACACGGCACCCCTCCCACCCCCACGCCCCACTCACCCCCACCCTGCAGCCCTCCTTGCTTTAGAGCGAGGCATTTCAGGGACCACAGCAACCCACTGGCATTTCTCCAACTGCCCTGTAAGTGATGTGGTCATTCTGGCCCCTTGGGACTGTGGTCTCACCGCCCCCAAAGCTAAGCCCGCAGGTGGGACCTGTACCCCGGTGGTGACCCAGAGACACAGAGAGACACGGAACCAGGTGGAGCTGCCACCGAAATGCAGGTGTGCCCACAGCCCAGCCCTGCCTGTGGTGAGCAGACAGCACGCCCTCCAGGCACAGCTGACCCGCAGAGCTGGGGGGGGCTCTTACCTGGGACTGCTCCGCATGGAAGCATAATCCATAGCTGGGCTCCCACAAAGTGCTTATGCCTCGTGCTACATGTGGGAGGAGAAATCAGCGTGTATTTCATGGAGCCGTTTGGCTCGGGTCTTGTGAGCAGAATGAGAACCTGCACTCGGTACGGAGTCTTAAACGCATCGTTAGCAAACCGGGTGGCCCAGGTCGACAGACCACTGGGGCTCGGCCACCACTAAACATTAACAAGCAAGTGACAAAGTAGCACCCCCTTGTTAACTCACTGCCCTGATTTATAACGTTCAGATGGTGGGCCAGAAGGCACAGGCTGCTCTCGGCCAGTGTGGTCCCTCCTGCCTTTGCCAGTGCGGCCAGGCTCCCCACCCCCACCCCGGGACCGCCAGAGGCTCACCTGCAGGTCCAGGGCGGTCAGCTTGCCCTTGTCGCCCGCGTTCCGGGCGTACTCCTCGATGGTCCAAGAGGGCTGGCCGCGCTTCACCTCGGCCAGCTCGGTCAGCCGCATGTCCGTGTACAGAGGGTTGTTCTTCAGGTGGGCCTTGAGGGAGGCGGGGTAGGGGTGCGGGCTGAACACCTGCTCCACCAGGAAGCCGTCTTTGGGCTGCTTGGGCGGTCGGTGGTGCGGGGGCACGTCGTACTGCCTGTCCGCCTGCAAGGGCACAGAGAAGCACAGGAAGGCGGCCCAGATGCCAAGGGGTCTCGCGTGCCACTGGGTGGCCGGCCGCCGGCTCCATAGCCCTGGTTCCCGTGGACACTCAGGGAGCAAAGAGCCGTGATTCACAAACGAATAGAAAGTGTACCTGTATTGGGGACATTGTCTAGGAACAGCGTGTCTGTGCCAGGAAGCGATGATGGTAGCTATCCCTCATGTCATCACTGCCATCCCCAGCCTCCTTGCACAGGTAAGGAAGTGGGGCCCAGAGAGACTCAGTGACTTCCCCCAGGGCGCACAGCTGCCAAGGGGTGGAGCCGGGATTTAAGCCTCTCCCTCTGGCTCCCGAGAATCTTTGCTTAACCATTCCTGCCCCTACCTGGTTCCGAGGAGTGAAACACAGGCCTTTCCCCCCCAGGAGCGCGCTGGAACCATGCTGCTTCTCTGGGAGGAAGAAGCCAAGCCGGAAAGTGCATGTTGGGAGCCTGTCGTGATTTCCAGAGACGTCTGCATGGCCTTCGAGATCAGGGAACAGTCGGGACTACAGTATGGAGGTAGGAAGGTGCTCGCCTTTTCACTGCCCTCTCCAGCAAAATCGCTCCACAAAGTAGGCGGCTCCCACCGGTGTTTGTCAGAGGGATTGATAACTCGTACAATGATAAGAAGTCGTGTATGTGAAACAGCAGAAAGAGTTGCATGTGTGAGCGACGGAAAGAGAAGGGGCAGACAGGAAGCAGTGCAGGTGAGTGTGGATAAGTAAGGGGAGGAAATGAGTGAGGATTTGTGTGAGAGTTGTGTGTGTGTGTGTGTCCCACACTTGGGCTGGGACGGCAGCACAGGCCCACCCACCAGCACCTGTGGGCCCTTCCTTGCCCAGATATGGCACAGTTAGGGCTTCCAAACCACCCAGACTGCTGACACTGGGGCCCAGGGAGCAGGGTGGGCTCTGCCAAACCCAGACAAGAAAACGAGGTTGCCTCTTATTTCCAAACTCATCAAAGCCAAATATGTTCTAAGAGGCTTCGCCGATTTTATCGAGCGTGCTTGTCACCGTGACCCTGCGCTCACAGAGCCGCCCTGACATGCGGGCCACACAGAGCCAGGGGCGGGGGATGCTTCAGTAAGGGCGACGCAGCCACCACCGCCTGTTACAGTGCGTCAGGGCTGACTGCGTGTCCACCGCTGTGCTCGGAGCTGCACGTGCATTGTCTCCGTTCACCCTCACGACAGGGTTCCAGGTCGTAACGATTATTATCCCCATGATGGAGACGATAGGGGACTGACCCAGTGTCACACAGCCAGTAAGAGGCAGAGCCAGGGTTGGAACCTGTTCTCACATCTTGATGGGCGAATCCCAAGAGAAAAAGCTGGCCACTAGTACTGACTGAGTGAGTGAATGAACCTGGAGAGCCTGAGGCAGACGGGTCCCATCGGGGCTGAGCAGCCCCGTCCGGGAGAACAAGAGCCATCTTGCTTACGGGACGGGATGTTCCCTGGGCTTCAAAGGCCTGGCTGAGGGGCTTGAAACGTTTTGCTGAAGCAAACAGGGGCCAAGGAATTGTCTGGAACAGGAGGCACCGCACACCCAGAGTGCAGCTGTAGGACCGTGGGGGGTCTGGGGGTGGGGGCTGGGAGGTAGGGGGATACATGGAGAGACCAGTTATAAATGTGCCCCAGGTCCCAGGTGGGATGTGTGAGGGCCTGGACCGCATTGGCAGGGAGGGGTGCGGGGGTACGGATTTAAAGGAAAGGGAGGCAGAAATGTAAGAAACAGAAGACCAATCCACAGGGTCTGGTGTTAAACTGCGTGTGAGAGGCCAAAGATCAGAGAGGCCTCTTCAGCTTGGGGATTGCTGGAACGGTGACCCCAGGACGGGGAGAGGGGCACTGGCTTTGCAGGAACAGGGAAGCCTGGTTGGGACCTGTTGACACGTAGGTTGTGGGGGACGGGGGCAGCTGGCCGTGAGCAGTTTGGGATGTGGGACCGAAGCTCAGAGGGTGGGCAGGGCTGGGCACTACCACGGAGCCTCAGCCCAGAGGGGGCGAGAGCCGTGTCCCCACCAGGAGGGAGACATGGGGTCACAGAGGTAACAGGTGAAGATGACTCAGGTCAAGCAGTCGCAACTTTGGGCTCGGCACTGCAAGTGACCCTTTCTTCAGCTTCTGGCTGTTTCTGCTGGTTTCACAAGGCTTTGCCGTTTACAGATTGGAGACATGGCTACTTCAGTTTAACTTGATATTTCTGTAGACGTGCCTGACCATTCACATCTTCTAAATGGTCACTTTTCAATGCTCGCTAGTGCCTGAGGCACCAGAAACCTGGCAGAGTTAACAGCTCAGGGACAATGATAATGAGAGGAGAGGACACCCCTCCTCTCGTGTACTGCCCTCTGCTTCCTCTCAACAGCACGTTTTAAGTGGCTACAGAAGGACAGAGCTGTGGCCAGCACACACACAGAGGTTTCTTTGGGGTCAGAAACAAAAAAATCACTCTTAAAACTTACTCTTGGGCCGGCCGAGTGGCGCGTTGGTTAAGAGCTGGCTTGGGACACCAGAGGGCCCCGGTTCGCATCCCACATATGAGGGCCAGTGACACTGCCCTTTACAGCTAAGATGCTGAACAACAGCTCAACCTGGAGCTGGGCTGCCGTGAGTTGCCGGCGACGGTGTAGGCTGCAGCCCCTGCTGCAGTGGGTTGCCATGGGCTACCGTGTGTAGCCAGCAGCCAGCGTGAGCGGCCAGCAGCCGCAGTGAGCGGCCGTCCAGAAGCCGGCGACTGATCTGCCTCGCCCGGGAAGAGCGCAATGATGGTGCCAACTTGGGCCAGTGAAGCAACATCCTCCACAACTAGACTGAAGAACAAAAGGACAGCAGCTTGTCTGTTCCCCTTCCCCCAATTCCCCAATTAAAAAAAAAATCTTTAAAAAAAAAAACTTACTCTTTTCCCCCACTTTGGACCCTGAAAACTTCCTTAGAGCCTAGTTTCCAAGCTTTTCCTTCCTGGCCCTGTTGGGGGAACCCAGCCTCCTTCTCTGGCATGCGTGTCTGCAGCCCACACCACTTCCCTCCTCCTCTCTGAGAGCCGGGTCCTCTGAGCCTCGGTAGGCCCCAGTCAGTCCCCTGACCTTCAGGCTCCGGAAGGGAGTGAGACGAGCAGCAAAGTGAAATTGTACCACTTTGGCCAGAAAGGGTTCCCCCGCCACCCAGTGAGAATGCGCAGCCACACGTGCCCCCAACAGTGCTCCTCACTGCGGGGGACGAGATGAGAAAGAACTGGGTGTATGTGTGTGCACTCGCTCCAGAACCCACGGGGGAACATCGGCTACCACGATGCAAAACGCTCAAGCTCGCTGAAGAGAGCAGAACATCCGACCGTGGGTGGGGGAGAGAAACTGCAAAGCAAAGGAAGACGCCACCTTAGGAGTCGCTGTCCTTGGGTGGTGGAACGGTAATTTTCTTATTGACCACACTTGCTCACTCATCATCGATTGATCTTATAGGAACATAACTGCTGGAAAGGAACTCCATGCAGGCAGCGCGTCCATGCACGGGACACGGGAACCCGCACGCCTCTCAGCCGTTGCCACCTGTTCCCTGCCTGCTCCCTGCTGTCTCAGTCAGGACAGGAAGACGCATGCCCGCGCTGTCACCACCCCGGTCCCCCACCACCTGTCACCTACCCCGCTGGCAGCACCATGACATGCGCCCCTCCCAGTGCCAGGCAGCCCGCCTGCCTGTGCGGCCTGGTCTCCAGGAGGCCGCCCTCTCCTTCACCGGGACGTGGGCGGCTTGGAGCAGCACCGCACTGCGCAGTCACACGAGCTTAAGCGCACATTATTACCTCTTTTGACTTCCGATGCCACTCCTTGCTGTCCCCAGGGCCTCTGTCCTTGGCCTCCTCCTCGCTGAGACCCGCGCGGCCTGTGTACGTGATGGTGCGCCAGTCCCTGGGCGAGTTGGAGATGCTGGCTATCTTTGACTCGGTGGCGCTGTTCTCCTCTGTCAGCGACCTGGAGGACGGCCTGGTGAAGAGGCTTTTCTTTAAGGCCTTGACTCGAAGGCTTTCGCTGTTGCTCCCGCTGGCATCAGAGCAGCACCAGTGGGCGCTGCTGTCCAGCACAGGCCCGCGGGAGCCACAGTGTGCGCGGAACATCCGGGGAGAGGCGCTGTCATCTGACGGGGCCTCGCTGGTCAGGGAATTCAGGTCCATCTGCACACTTGCCTTCTCGGGCTGCTGCATTTTCTGGTCCAATTTGTTGAGTTTGCCCAACACCTGGGAGATTTCCTCGCGGACGCCCGACAGTGACTCGAGCTTCCGTTCGATCTCACCGATCCTGAGCACCAGTTTGCACACACTGGTCTTCAGCTCCTCCTCCGAGCGGTGGCTGGTTTCAGGCCGGCTGCCCTTTTCTCCCTTGCTGCTGGGGAGCCCGTTGGCAATTTTGGTTATGTTGTGCTCCGGAGAGCTGTCGCAGTCCGACTTGTGGATCTGAGACAAGGACCCTGTGCTGTTATAGCAGGACGACTGTATCACTCCCGTCGAGCCGCTGATACTCATGTCATCAAGGAATCGGAAAATGTCACTGATGTCATCGCTGACAATCTCCGAGTCGTCATCCGACTGCTTGGCGGCGTGCCTGTCCGCGTACTTGCCCTGTCCCGAGCCAGACAGGTCTGTGCATTTCTTGGGCTCCAGCGCGTGCTGCTCGGTCTGGGTGCCGACGCTGCTGGTGTCGGAGCTGAGCTGCCCACTGCTGCAGCCGATGCCCTTGTCTTTGAACTTCTTAATGGGTTCGTGCTTCTCAAGATCAGCAGGGGAAGAGATCTCTTTAGCTTTGAGCCCGTTGGGTTTTGCTGCGTAGCCGACGGGGAGCATTGGCTCTTGGTCCTTTGGCGTGAGGTAGGCAGGGTGCCGGTCCGGGGCTGGGAAGGCGGGTGTGTGGCTGCTGGGATTTGGATAGCGTAGCTTCTCCTCGGAAGGGTTCCTGCTGAAAAAGGACCGTTCAAAGTCAGGGACTTCTTCCGTGTTTAGGCTCCAGCTTTTGGCTGGCCAGGGGGTCTGCTTGCCAGGCCTCCCTGAACAGCGCCTGGCCTCCTGGGTCCCCATCATGGGAGTGGGTCCAAAATAGGTGGAGGCTTGAAGGTCATCTAAGCTTTCGTGCTTTGCCCGCCTCTTGTCAGGGATGGGGGAGTACACAGGACTCAGGTACTGGCTGTTGTAGGGCATTTCAAAGCTGTGATTGAAAAATGGTGGCTTTTGGGGCTCCTTCCGGCTCTGGGGCTCCCCGTGCTGCCCCTCTGCCTTGGTAGCGGGGCCGACCAAACTGGGGGACACGGTCATCAGGTTGTGAAAGTCCTCTTTGAAGATGGTCCTCTTCTGGACACAGGACTGGACCATGAAGGGCTCGTCATTGGAAATGAACGTGTCCTTGATGCCCTGGGTGATGGGCAGCGAGTCCTGGTCCGAGATGGACTCGTTCTCGATGTTCATGGGGAAGTAGGTCCTCTGCATCTCGCAGGGCTGGGGGCTGGCGACCGAGTATGGGGCCAGGGCCTGCAGCCTGTCCAGGGAGGCAGCTCGGGCTTTCGCCTCTTTGCTGACGCCCAGCAGAAAGTTGGGCTCGGAGGCGGGCACGAACTGTGGGCAGTCCTTGCAGTCCAGCTTCCGGCACTTGGACGACTGCCGAGTGGGGTAGCCCCGGCCGAAGGGCCGCTCGCCCAGCTCACAGTTGAGGGGCTCACACTCGGCCGCGTTGCAGGACTCCGCATCTGACCTGCACGATTCGAAGGACGCCTCCTTCTTTCGTGCCTTCTGCCGGCTAGGGGGCAGCTTCTCCTTGGCGGCGCCGCCGTTCATTTGGATCAGGTTGAATATTGTCACAATGTCTGCGGCCACCATGATTTTCTTTGACTGCTGGTTATTCACCGTGCACTTCATCTTGTCCTTGAACAACGTGGCTGGGAAGTTGGGATCCAGGCAAGCCGTGTAGAAGAGAACGCTTCTCAGCTTGGCGAGCTGCGAGAGGTCGAAGCGGGTGCACAGAGATTTGCACAGGTCCTGGTAGGAGACCGCGTTCTGCTTGCTGTCCAGCTCCTCCAAAATCTTCACCAGGAAGAGGGAGCTGTCCTGACCGGCCTCCATGGTGTAGGGCTGCAAGGGCTCGTTGACTGCACTGAAGCTCCGAGTCAGTTCTACAGAGACAGCACCAAAAAAGTGGGGCGAAGAGGATTATAAACATCAGTGGAGTTTTAGGTCAAGCTTGTGAACCACATAAAGAAATGCAAGGAAAGACTTTTGAATCCTTTAAAATGTATTAAGACCTTTAAAAAGTATATATAACATACGACATTGTAATTCCTTTCCTAGGATTCTACCTTAAATAAATGATCAGCGACAGCAATTTCTACAGGGAGATGTTCATTATGATGATAGTGAAAAAAATGAAACATCTGAAGTATTTCTCTAATGGTGGAATGCATAAATGAAGCATGTTATGATATACATGACTTCTTACAAACATTAAAATTACATTAATGTGCCTCTCCACAACAGAACACTACTCATCAATAAAAAGGGACATTTTTATTGTGTGTTGTGCTTAAGTAAAAGAAGCCTGAGGCAAAAGGCTACACGATTCCATTTTAGTGGCGTTCTGGAAATCAGATCCGTGGTTGCCAGGGCTGGATGTGAGGCGAGGGGCTGGCTACGATGGGGCACAGAGAGATTTTCAGGGATGATGGAAGTTTCATTGGGGTGGTCATTACCTAACTCGATGCATTTGCCAAAACTCACGGAACTGTATGCTACAGCGTATGATTTTTACTGTATGTAGATGATTCCTTAATTTAACAACTACACAGTGAAGACATTTTATGACAAAGGAAAACTGTGATGCAATATTGAGTGAGAAGATATGAAAACAAATTTGCACATGTCGTAAGATCTTAATTATATAAAATTATATATTCTTGGACATGGAAATGAAAGAAAATAAAGTACACTAAAATGTGAATGCTGCTTACATGTGGATTATAAATATGGATTTTTTTTACTGCATTAGTAATCCGTCCCTCAATAGTATATTATGTAAATTTTCAAACATTGAGCAAAGTTGAAAGAATTTGATAGTGAGCACTCATATACCCACCCCTGGATTCTGCCATTAACATTATCCTCTTTTCGCTTTATCACAGATCGATCCATTGATTCTCCATCAACCATCTTTTTTTAATGCACCTCAAAGTCAATTGTAGACATATGTACACTTCCCCCTACACATTTCATCATGCATATCATTAACCCTACTTCAATAATTGTTTACAGTTTTTCTTTTAATAGAAGATTCATATACGGTGAAGTACACAGACCTTACATGTGCATTTGCTAAAGTTTTGACAAATGTGTAGTAACCAAAACCATTATAAAGACCTAGACTGTTCCCATCCCCTAGAACAGCAGTTCTCAACCTTCCTAATGCCACGACCCCTTAATACAGTTCCTCATGTTGTGGTGACCCCCCCCAACCATAAAATTATTTTCGTTGCTACTCTATAACTGTAATTTTGTTACTGTTATGAATCGTAATGTAAATATCTTTTTGTTTTCCAATGGTCTTAGGCGACCCCTGTGAAAGGGTTGTTTGACCCCCAAAGGGGTCGCGACCCACAGGTTGAGAACCGCTGCCCTAGAAGGTTCCCATTCAACCACCATTCTTACTTTTTATAGGTAATTTTTATTTTTTCTTTATGATTTCCCATCTCTTCTAAAATTCCTACAATTCCTACTTTGTAATCACCAAACGATAGTAAGCCTTACTTTGAATGGAAGACAAAGCTATGTTAGCAAATCTTGGATGGAAAAATTAAAAACATCAAACCAAAAGTTTAACAGAATTTCATAAGAGAAAGCAAAGCTCATTATTGGTAAGCATGGACCCAGGTCCTGAGATTTATAAGGAAACATCCAATCACATGTGGTTAGCGTCCCCAGTCATGCCCTGCTTAGTGGAGGCATAGGGACGGTGGATGCATAGATTTCAGACTTTACTCAGACCATGCAGGGCACCAGTGTCTCCTCTCTGGGTTCAGTGCCAGCTGTTGCCGGCAGTGGCTCTCTGCGTGCTGAGGGCAGTGTCGCGACGGGCTGCTGTACACACTGGCATGCACTCTCCCAGAAACCTGCAGAAACACGCAGACACCATGGTTTGCATCTTCTGATGTAGAAAAGACAGTGAAGCCCTGAGAGGTTCTGTTCCCGCCCAGTGCAAGTCACCGGGAACACACTTCTCCTGCAGTGCCTGGCCCGGCCCGGCCCAGCCATCGTGCCATCTGGTAACAGCACCCTGTGCCAGGGTGTTCTGGTTCGTTAGAGGCGGGGACATCTGTCACCCTTGCCCTCCCAGTGAATAAACGGCACAGAAACCAGAGCGGAGGCTGTGGAGTGAGTGTCGTCGAAGGAAGAGCAGCTTCAGCTCAGGCACACGGTACTTTATGGCTTCAGTGACACGAAGCACTTTCACAGATGCTCTCACGGGCATGAGGCCTCTGCCACGTTTGCTGCTGCTGGCTGGCCGGTGACAACCCAAGCTCAAGTGAGGATCAGACTGGACCTGCAGCCTCTGCCCTGAGGGCCTTTCTCAGCTTCTTAGTCTACTGTGCACAGCTGGACAGCTGTTAATCCCAACTCAGACAAGAATTTGGAAAACCCAGTCCCGAAGTGGGTAAAGGAAACGCAGCGATATGCTAAACCTGAGTCATTTTTTTCTGAAAGCTGAAATTGGGGGTTTCTGCATGGCCAGCTGTGGGCCCATGCCCCCCTGTGCAAACGGGGGCACAGATAGTTATACGCGTGGCATGTGTGGATGTGTGCACACGACGGCTAGTCACCGCAGAGGAGCTCCGTGTAGGTTTTCTACAACAACATGCTAGTGAGAGCCATGGAGGGATCGGGCGAGGGGGCTTGGTGAGACGGTGGATTTCTAGGCTCTGTAACAGGGTGAGGGCGCCCAGCCCGCAGAGCGCAGCACCGGCCAGCACCTCGCTGACCACACAACCAGCTCTGTGGTGTGGGGAGGGTGCTCCCTTCACAGATGAGGAGGCAGGACTGAGAGGAGAAGCGACTGGACAGTCCAGAGACGTGATGTGAGGCGCCGGGGTCCGGTGTTGAATAGGAGCCCAAGTCGACTACACACCAGGCCAGTATCCTGCCAGGGGAGGAATGGGGAAGGACCGCCGTAGCCTGACCACCTACTATGCGCTGGGCTTTACATGAAATGTGGACAGCAGCCTAGAGAAGAAGGCACTACCACTCTTCAGTGTATTCCAGAGAATCGAGGAAAATGAGGCTAGAGAAATTCTGCTCAGAGAGAGAAGCGTGGCCTGAAGGCAAGTCTGGTTAAAGCCAAGCCCAGGCTCAAAAGAGCAAGGGAGAGATTTCAGCCCGCAGCCTCCAGGGTCAGAGTGAGCCTGCCGTAGAACGTGTGTGTGTGTGTGTGTGTGTGTGTGTGTGTGTGTGTGTGTGCGCGCGCGCAGCACATGTCCACATGTATTGTTGGAGACATGCAAATTCATGCAACTATTATAGGAAGTAGGCCGCAGTAAAACTTAAAATACACATTTTTTTTTAATTGGGGTATTGGGGGGATGGGAACAGTGCTGGGGAATTGGGGGAAGGGGAACAGACAAGTTGCTGTTGTTTTGTTCTTCAGTCTAGTTGTGGAGGATGTTGCTTCACTGGCCCAAGTTGGCACCATCATTGCGCTCTTCCCGGGCGAGGCAGATCAGTCGCCGGCTTCTGGACGGCCGCTCACAGTGGCTGCTGGCTGCTCACGCTGGCTGCTGGCTACACACAGTAGCCCATGGCAACCCACTGCCACAGGGGCTGCAGCCTACGCCATCGCCGGCGACTCACAGCAGCCCAGCTCCAGGTTGAGCTGTTGTTCAGCATCTTAGCTGTAGAGGGCAGTGTCACTGGCCCTCATGTGGGACCTGAACCGGGCCCTCTGGCATCCCAAGCCAGTTCTTAACCATTGCGCCATTCAGCTGGCCTCAAAATACGCATATTTTTAAAATAAAACATATCCACACTTCTAAGTATTTATCTAAATGAAATAATCAGATGTGTGTAAAGAAAAAGTACTACAAATATGTCCTCTTCAACGTTGCTTATAATAAGAAAAAAGTCAGCAATACCCTTTGCACCCAAGTACTTATATAAACTGTAGTACATCAAGATGATGAAATACTGTGCAGCATTAATAAATCATGTTGCAGAAATATATTTATTGACATGTTTGATCTTTAATGTCATAATCTTAGGTGAAAAAGCATGCTACTAAATGGTATATTGTAATATATCAAATTGTCTGTATACCGTAATGTTAATAATTGTCCCTGGATGCTTTTCTCCTCCTTTCAAGTCTGTGTTACTTAAATGTTCTGAATTTGTGATTTTCTAGTAAAAAATAAACAGGAGAGGATTGGCAGGCAAATGCCAGCAATGGAAACTTGGGGAAGTCAGTTAGCATCTCTGATGTTTGGCTTTCTCATCTAGAAAAGGAAGATATCAATTCTTCACTTCGGCAATTACTAACAGGGTAAAATGACCCATTTATTCATTCAAAAATACTTGATTTGTAACAGGCATTGTGCTGTTTTAGCTAGTGGAAATACAGCAGAATAAAAAGCAAACATATTCTAGGTGGGGAGTCAGAGGATAAGCAAGACAAACAAGTAAAATGTAGAGTATATTAGACGTCAGAAAGTGCTATGGAGAAAAGTAGAGGGTAGAAAGTACAGGGCCAAAATGGGAGTGCCATTTTAAATAAGATGGCCAGAGACGTCCTCATGGGAAAGATGACATTTGAATGAGGTTCCCAGATAGTTAGGGAAGCAAACCATGTGCCTACCTTCCCTCCTTGGGGATGAAGGCGGGTGTCCCGGGCAGAGGGAACAGCACGTGCAAAGGCCCTGAGACAGAAGCCTGACTGGCACGTGTGCTTGGCTATCAAGGCACTTTATAAAATATGCAAAGAGGGCCGGCCAAGTGGCGTGATGGTTAAGAGCTGGCTTGGGATGCCAGAGGGCCCCGGTTCGGATCCCACATATGAGGGCCAGTGACACTGCCCTCTACAGCTAAGATGCTGAACAACAGCTCAACCTGGAGCTGGACTGCTGTGAGTCGCTGGCGACGGCGTAGGCTGCAGCCCCTGTGGCAGTGGGTTGCCATGGGCTACCGTGTGTAGCCAGCAGCCAGCGTGAGCAGCCAGCGTGAGCAGCCAGCGTGAGCGGCCAGCAGCCGCAGTGAGCGGCCGTCCAGAAGCCGGTGACTGATGTGCCTCGCCCAGGAAGAGCACAATGATGGTGCGAACTTGGGCCAGTGAAGCAACGTCCTCCACAACTAGACTGAGGAACAAAACGACAGCAACTTGTCTGTTCCCCTTCCCCCAATTCCCCAGCACTGTTGCCATCCCCCCAGTTCCCCAATAAAAAATAAAAAAATTTAAAAAAAAATGCAAAGAAATACTACTTCTTAGTGTATTATCTCTGGTATAATATTTAGCTCCAGAATGATTACTTTATCAAAATGTCTCTAAAAAGAGCTGCCTAATGCTGAGGCATGGCTCATGTTCCATTGGAGAGTGAAGTAATAATAATGGGAGGTCAGAGCTCGCTGACTTGCCCTCTCTCCACCTGAAGGTCTGCCTGCCTGCTGACCTGTGACCTCCCAGGAAGAGCTGAGGCCCCAGACCAGATGACGGCAGCGGGAATGGAGAGGTACGGATACGTTTTTATTTTATTATTTTATTTTATTTTGGCCAGGGAAGGCCCAGTGTCCCCTAACAGCATAAGAATCCTTTGGTTCATTTGTCCTTTAAGAAAGGCCTTCTGACGCTTCTTCCACATATTCTCAGAGGGAAGCCATTTTTCTACATTTTGTTTTCTTTTCAGTGAAAAATCTAAATGCATATTCTAGATCCTATGGGTGGCCACCTTCTAACGGGGTATGACTCTGTAATCTCAGTGCCTCGTGTGCTTTTGGGACAGCGTTGAACTCAGTGTTGAACTGTCCTTGTTGTGTTTCCCAAACTGGGGTCCCTGGAAACCCTTGAGAAAGTTAGGGTTCTAGGATTCAAGAAACACTGACCGAGGTGAAGATCTGATCAGATTCTCCAGGGCATCCCCTGGCCCCAGAAGAAGCCAGATGCAGTCATGCCTCTGCTTCTGTCAAGTTCTGTTGCCTCCCTACACTGAGGTGGCAAATACTGGCCATTCCAGAGGCTGTGTTGTATTCGTTTTCTGCTGCTGCTGCTGTAACAAATTTCCACACACACGTTGGCTGAAAACAACACAGATGTACAGCCTTGGAGTTCTAGAGGTCAGGAGTCCAGACCTCTGTGGGTTTTACTGGGTTAATGTCAGTGTGTTAGCTGAGTGGCTTTCCTTCCAGAGACTGTAGGGGAGAATCCGTTTCCTGGCATTTCCCAGTTCCCGGAGGCTGCTGGCCCAGCATTTACATCACTCCTGCCTTTGCTCCAGTGCCCACACCTCCCTCTCTAACTTGTCTGCCTCCTCTGCCCATTGCATAGACTCTTGTGATTCCACTGGGCCCACAGATAATCCAGCATAACTCCCCGGCTCAGTATCCTTAATCCCACCTGCAAAGTCCCTTTTGCCAAGTACGGTAACAAGGTAACATATACAGGAGGAAGTCTCCTCCTGTCCATTCTCGTATTTAGGTAGATGCAGCTGGAAGGCCTGCGGTCCTTCTTGGAGGGCAAATGTTTTGCACTAACTGATACCATAAGACCTGGTTTGTCCAGCGATCAGGGAGACCCTCCATTGACTGGCAGTCAGGATAATGGTAACTGGTGATGCGACTAAGACCGTCCTGTACTATCCTTCTGAAATACACCCTAGAGTCCCAGAAACGTGGAAGGCCACACTGTCACATCCCTCTCCATATTCTCAGAGCTCACAGCAGCCCTGACCTATGCTGGCTGGGCATGATGGCCCCACACAGAGAACAGTCACACTTTCCACATTCCCAGGAAGCTATTCTTCCAGCCCACAGGGCTAGCCCTGGCCTGGGACACACAGAACTTGAATCCCTTTGTAAGGGGCAGCTCTTCCAGGATTTGAAGATGGTTCTCCATCCCAGATCTGCAAGCATCCACTCTGGTCCCCAGCAGTGGCCCCGGTCCTTCCTGTTGATGGGGACACTGCTGGCTCAGAATGTCCCCTTTCTCAGTAGCTCACAGCAGCACTTATCAAACATGGGACAGACAGAAGCTCAGGCCTGGACTCTAATTCATCAAGACCCCCACGAGGCTCCAGTATGGCTGATATGCTGACAGCTGCTTGGGAATTCTGGACCACACACACCTTGGTGCTGGTGATCCACGGTTCTTCTTTAAATAATTCCCAGTGGCTCTTGTGCTTGTCGAGCTGAGGTTCCTTGTACTCAAGGGCAGAAAAGAACAGAAGTCCTGCCCTCATACTAGATGCCGCCTTTCAGCTAAGGGTCTTCTCATGGTCACACCGTGCCGTTGACTCAGACCAAGGCTGTGGGGACTGAATCATTCAATTTGTTTCCTTCCTGCGGCAGCCCTCCTCCCCATGTCCCCGAGCCTGAATCATCCAGGGCATCATTCATTCCCTCCTTCGCTTGACAGCTTTTATTGAACTGCCCAACCTGTGCCAGACACTGTGCTAGTCACCAGGACAAACGATGGTGTCACTGTCCCATTCCTCCAGGGGCCCACAGGGTAGTGGGAGAGGCAGACCAGCAAAAAGTCCGACATAACACAGCAAAAAGTGTTCCCATGGCAACGGGGACACAAAGGAAGAGCCCACGGCACGTCCACACCCCCACTCACCCCCACACTGACAAACAACTCCCCATTTTCTTCAGCTTGACTCTGCAAACAGGCCCCGTTCTTTGCTTCCCTTGGTCGGCCTTCTCACAACTGTGTGCTGGTCCTGCGGGCTTTGCCGATGTTCTAAAGCCCTGGTACCCACCGGATCCACCAGTCCCCATTGGTCTGTCGACCTTTTTTGGTTTCTTTTCTCAGCTGTGTTTACTTAAGTCTCCTGAGTAACCATAAAACTTGCATGTTGGGCATCCTGCATAAAACTTTTCTTCCTCCAAACCCCAGTGCCATCACAGAGGCTCAGTGTGGTGGGCATGGCACATCAGCCACTGGACGTCAAGCTGCTCACCAGGAGGAGAAGGGAATGGCAGGAAGAATGGATGCCGATGGCACGCACACTGAGGAAGCTGCTCAAGGTAGAGATGGCGGCCGACGGCTCGTCGGCTGAGAGCTTTTGCAGTCTGCTGTTCTCACAGCAAAACAGTTGTCGTGAAAGCTCACATTGGCTGAGGGCATGGAAGAGGCTCAGAGTACCCGAAAAAAATCATACAGTAATTGTTTTCAACAAATCACGCTCTAGGGATGGTATTAAATGATGTATGTGCATAAGTATGTAGTCCACTGAGCAGGTGAAGAAGGGTACGTCAGTAAGTCACAGCCATGGGACACTGGCCTGCAGCTCATCCCACTAACTGTCCTAGCTTTAAGTCCAAGCTCACCGAGCAGTTTCTTTTTATTACCTGGCTTCTAATGGGCATTTCTCTATGATCAGTGAACACATTTATCAGATTCACTTTCTTCCCACTAAACTATTAAACCAGCATTTTATAGCTTATATATCAGGCTCTTGGTTATCATGGGCCCTTCTCTAAAAAGCCTGGCCTGGGTACACTACCAAATGAGCTCTCCAACCAGCAAAAGTGACAACCATGTGCCTCAGTGTGGCAACCCCACCTGGGTCCCGATCCCCATGAAACCCTGTCTGAGCAACCCCTGGCCTTCCCACGTGGCACTGCTGCCTGGACAGGCTCTGATCCAAAGCCAGCGTTATTCTCGGTCTTTTACACATTGCCTCGGTCAGGACAGACTGTGTTATGCTGCAGCAACAAGCAGCTCCCAGATTCCAGTGACTTGAAACACCACTGGTGTATTTCTTTTTATTGCTACATGTCCAGTGTGAGTCAGCTGGGGCCCTGCTCCACAGCACCTTACCAGGCTGAGGGTGCAGCCACTGTCTGGGGCTTGGACGCCCCTGGAGCAGAGGAAAGGGAGAGCACGGTGAGGCACCCGCTAACTTTGGAGCTCCCAGGCACATTCCTCTAGCCACGCAAGGCACACAGCCACACCTGCCTTCCAGTGACAAGGGAAATGCAACCCTGCACGTGCCCAGAAGGAGACACAGAACCTTCACAAACGGTGAATAACCACCACACATATGTCACTTGTGACGTCTTAGAGCAGCGCAGTCCCTAGTTAACAACTTTAACCAGTTGAAAGGTTTCCTTACAGTGAGCCAAGATCTGCCCATGCCAGGCAGTGTTCTGAGCACTGGCAAGAGCAACAAATAAACCAAAGTCCCTGCCCTCCTCAGATTCAACCTGTAGTGGATCCACTCATCTTCAGTCAGAATAACTTTTCCCCCTCCTCATTTCCTCATCCACTCAGCAAGCATTTACTAAGCACCTGCTTATGAGCCAGGCACTGCGCGAGATTTGGGAGATTTGGGGCTGAAAAGGTCGTGGTCCTCTGGAAGCTCACAGTGCAGGGGTTTAGCTAGCCACCAAGGTGGATCAGATGCAAGTGAATGGTACATGGCACATTGTAACACAGAACCAGGTACGAGACACATTGTAACACAGAACTAGGTAGCCACAGTACTATTTCACTTCAGACACAGAAGGAATATGCCATATTCTATAGAGAAGGCTTCCAGTGATTCTCAAACTGTGTTCCGGGGAGCCATTAGTGGTTCCAAAAGGGGGCTTCAGAAATCACATTGGGGTGAACAGGCTGCCGCACCTCTCCCTCTAACCTGTTCCATATACTTAACTTTCATATAAGATTTAATTTAAGGGGTTCAACTCTTAAAAGAGAGAGAAGGGAGAAAAAATTAATCATCTGTCCTGATGCTTTCTCATTTTATACAGGTGAAAATAAATGTGCAGAACAGCTGTTAACTTACCAAGATCATGTAATGAGTTAGAAGCATGCCTGAGGCTGGCCCCCAACTGCCTCTGCCTGTCTCTGAACTCCATACCACTCTTTCTTTTCCTTTTTTTCTTTCATTTACACCAAGCCTGCAGGTCAGCTCCAAAAATTACAATCCACACGTCAGTGGGAAAAGCTAATGAGTGGGCTTGAGCAATATTCTCACAGAGGAACCTGGGACCTTGTCCCAGCCAGCTTGAGGATACATGTCGGCATGTGGCTGGAGCAGTGAACTGGGCCAACCCATCTTTGTCCTGGTCCTCAGACCCTTGCCCAGCAGGCACAAAGCCATCACTGCAACACTGCTCTCTGCTTCCTGTTGGTCCAGATTCAAGATAGAGCTGATTTCAGGACTCCTGAGGGAGAAAATCCCCAGACCAGTTCTGTGTGCCGTGGATAGAGGCAGACAGATGTCTTAACCTCACAGGAGCATGGGTGTTTCAGAGGGAGTATCAAAGAGTTAATAAATACAAAGGCTTTTAGAAGCTGGAAAGTCAATTTTGCACCAAGCATTGGCCAGGGGAAAATGGCATTGTATATGTAAAATTCAAAACGGACCCCCCCCCCCACCGACAAAGAAACCTTTGTCTGTCTTCCAAGTATTAAGTGCCCCTGACACTTACTCACCAAACTCATCAGAAATGCAAATAAACTGATGTATTCTTTCCCTAGCAACTGACATTTATTGTCACATGGCCCCAGATCTATCCACATCTCTCCGACACAATAAAAATCAGACTGTATTTACCAGACATTTAAGGTTTTTCCCTCCAGGCTCCAGCAACTGAAGAAAATCTCTAAATTTGCTTTTTCTGTAAAATGCACTCCTGTTCCTGCTACACCTTCATCTGGTAAACAAGAAGAAAGCCCATCCAAAGGGGTTGTAGGCTGTCCTGAGGGCCCAGGCAGCCCATTCTCCCTGACCCCCTTTCTTTTCTTTCAGCAGCGCCCCAAATACTGCTGCCAGGCTCAGTGGGAGCACCGTGTGACCACAGCAGTTTGCAGGCTCCGTGGATGCTGGTGGTCACAGCAGTGGGAAGGAAGAAGGGGCACTGACCCACCGTCTCCATCCGGGAGAGGGGGTGGTGGCGGCAGCTTGTCTGCTCTCGGAGAAAGGGGTGCATAGCCGCCACACGCGCTGCTGCCAGACTCCCCCTGGCTGCTCTCCATGGCATGCACGAAATCACAGCCCAGCCCAGCAGTAAAGCTCCCAGTCACAGCCATGAGGGCGGCAGCATGGACTCTGCCACCTCCCAACGACAGAGCCCATGCTCCAGAGAAACGGTGTGAAGCCTTTGAGACAAACCTGATTACAGCGGAGACCCCCGTCCGTCTTCGCCAACCAGCAGTTGGTCCCCTGGAGAAGAGTGTTAGCACAAGCACCACAGCCACCGTCCCCCGTGTGGACTCCCGGCCGGGCTGAGCACTGTCACAGGGAAGCTACTCAGATGCCACCGGAAGCCCTGGCATCCTGGACAGCAGGCAAGTGATGGCTCTGGCTGATTCGGCAGCCCCGGGGAGGGTGGCGGGCAAGCGGGGTGCCCGAGCCAGACCGCGTGTGAGTGCATACCTGGCGGCCCAGGCCAGGCCTCTGTTTTGTGGAGGGTAAAGTTGAACCCCGCATCTCCTCCCATCCCACACCAACGAGCATGGAAATCTCAGTTTCAGAGCTGGATGCACTGGCGGTCCAGCCGGGGGTTTGTCCAGCTGTCCACCTTACTCTGCGCCTCTGAGATGTCGGGCCTTTTACACACATAGCTGATACACTTAACCCTCAAGATACCGGTTTCTAAAAGTGAATTTTCGCCCATGAAAACTTGCCCCAAACTGCATGGTCCTTTTCCGGTATTTCCCTTCCGGAATCCCTGATCTCTCCACCAGGTTTGGCCAAGCCCAGCTCCCCCCCCACACACACAGCTTGCCCACCGCCACCCAGAGCGCAGCGGAGAGGGCCCGGCGGCCCGCAGTGCTCCTAAGCCGAGGGGACTTGGGTGGATTCCCACCCAGCCCGCGGGCACCAGCGCCCGCACCGCGCACTGGCACACACGCACGCGTGCGCTCCCGCCCCTCGCCCAGCCCGGCTCTCCGAAGTTACCTCCGAGACTGCCCCGGAGCAGGGTCAGTGCCGCCCCGCGGGTCTCCCGCTGCTCTCAAGCCGTTGGTCCGCACGGCCTCGGATGCCGCGCCTCGGGAAGCCTTCGGAACCCACTGGTCCCCGCCTCCCGGGCAGCCGGTTCCGTGCCGAGGCTGCTCACCGGGGCTGGGTCGGCTGCAGCTCTGCCCCCAGGTCAGGGTCCGCTCTCACCTGCGCGACCCCGAGGGCGCAAGGCGGCCCCGGCGGGCGCGCGGGCTCCTCCGGGGCATCGGGCAGCTGGCACAGGCTCGCATGGCGCCGGGGCTCGCGGCGACCCCAGGACGTGGCCTCAGCCCCCGGGCGACCCCCCCAGCCTCGGGCTTTGTGTCTGGGCCGGCGCCGCCGCGTCACGGGCTTGGGGGCAGTGAGAAGGGTGGGCCGGGGAGCCGGCGGCAGAGGGCCGGGCTCGGCCTCCCCATCGTCGCCTGCCCGGGCGGGCGCGCAGGCTGGCGGGGCGCACCGGCAGTGACTGCGCGCGCCCTGGGGACGGAGGGGCGGGCCCGGGGAGGGGCGCGGCGGGCGCGCCGAGGGGGTGCCTCGCTGGAGGCTGCAGCCGGGAGGGTGAGAGCCGAGCGCCGCCAGAGCTCGGGGAAGGCCACGTCCGCGCGGTCCCAGGTCGCGGGCTGCAGCGCTGGGGGCAGAGCCAGCGGAGGCTGCGCGCTGGAGGGAGCGGCGGCTGGAGCCGCCAGCCGGGTTCGCGTCTCCCCACTCCCTCCGTTGAAGGTGACTGCGGCCCCCAGCGGCTGAGCAGGGACGCGCGGCTTCTTCGCCTCTCTTTCCCGGGTGCGCTCGGCTGGTCCTTCCTCTGCCTCCGACTCCGCAGTCCTTTGTAAGGCCGGGACAAGGTGGTCACTTCGCTCATTGATTTTCCCTCTTGGCCGGACTCGGCTTAATTGGTACCCAGATTGGAGAGACTGGCGGTCACGTGACCGCGCCCTCCCCAAACACGCGGGGACACACACATACACACACACACACACACACACACACACACACACACACACACACACACACACACACACACACTCACGGCCAACGGAACTGGGGTGGGTTTCCGAAAGTCAGATTCCATCCGTGAGTCCGGACTGGAGGCCTCTGGCCAGGCAGCCCGTGCTCGGCGGCAGGGCTGAAACGCAGCGGTTGCCTGGGGGGCCCCTCGTTACAAATAGTGCAGTTTCACGCCCACGGGATCCCATTTCAAAAGAAACCCCCGCTACCGAGTCTCGGAACAGAGCTGTGGAAGAGCCTACCTTGGCGGGAACAAAGCCCCTCCCCGGGCCCCGCCGGTTGCTTCCCGGAGCGCAGCCCAGATGCCGGCGCGGTGGTGGTGGCGGCCACCTCTGCTCTGAGCAGGCCCCGGGGCAAGATCTCAGTCCCAGCCGCCCTCCACGCTGCCTGCATGTGACTGGCGACAACCCCTACAAGGGAACCTGTACTGAACGGGAACTTCCAGTAATGCCTGATCAGAGTGATGTGTTGACAACTTCACTTTCCCAGAGCTCCTCTGCCCGAGTTTTTAAAGCCGTTTGCCTTGAGCACCACCTGCTTGGCCTCTATATCTGTGGGTCTGTCTCTGTTTATTCATTTGTTTTGTTTTGTTTTAGATTCCACATATAAGTGAGATCATATGGTATTTGTCTCAGTCTGACTTATTCACTGAGCATGATACCCTCTAGGCTTGTGGCAAATGGCAAGATCTGATTCTTTTTCATGGCTGAGTAATATTCCAGTGTATATATGTACCACTTCTTTATCCATTCATCCATCGATGGACACTTAGGTTGCTTCCATTTCTTGGCTGTTATAAATAAAGCTGCAGTGAACCTAGGGGTGCATATATCTTTTCTAATTAGTATTTTGGATTTCTTTGGATAAATACCCAGAAGTGGAATTGCTGGGTCATACGATAGTTCCATTTCCAGTTTTTTGAGATACCTCCATACCGATTTCCATAGTGGCTGCACCAATCTACAGTCCCACCAGCAATGCACAAGGGTTCCCTTTTCCCCACAACCTCGCCAGCATTTGTTTGTTGATTTATTGATGATGTCATTCTGACCGCGGTAAGGTGGTATCTCAGTGTGGTTTTTATTTGCATTTCTCTGAAGATTAGTGACATTGAGCATCTTTTCGTGTCTGTTGGCCATGTGTATGTCCTCTCTGGAAAAATGTCTTTTCATGTCCTTTGCCCATTTTTAATCAGATTGCTTGGGGGTTTGTTTGTTGGTTTTTTTTTCATGTTGTTGTATGAGTTCCTTATATAGTTTGGATATAAACCCTTTATCGGATGTATCATTGGTGAATATCTTCTCCCACTCAGTAGGTTGTCTATTCATTTTATTGACACTTGGTTCTTTCTTACACGTTCTCCTTGCTGAAGTTCTCCTATGTCCCTCTGTTCTACTCCCAAGTTTGGTGAGGATTCTTATGATTGTTCCTTTGAATTTGTTTTTCTTTTTTTTTAAGATTTTATTGGGGAATTGGGGAAGGGGAACAGACAAGTTGCTGTCCTTTTGTTCTTCAGTCTAGCTGTGGAGGACGTCACTCCACTGGCCCGTGTTGGTATTATCATTACGCTCCCTTTGAATTTTTTATCAGGCAAATTACTTCTCTCCATTGTGTTAGGGTTTTTTCCTGGGGATTTTTCTTGTTCCCTCATTTGAGAGATACTCTTATGTCTTTACATTTTGTTTGTCTATGTGTATACGAATTAGACAAAACAGCTGTCTCTGCCAGTCTTGGAAAAGCGGCCTGATGTGGAAGCGGGCTGTGTGGGCTGTGTGTGCCGGGCGGGTGTGGCCGGGCGGAGCCCAGTGGCCCCCGAGCTGGAGCGGTCCCAGGTGTGTGTGGCAGTGCCCGCTGGTGCTCGCTCCCTTTGGGCCAGAACGGGCTCCGGGATGTGTCCGGAAGTGCACTGCCGTGACCTTACGGCGGGCCAGAACCCCTGGATAGAGCCCGCGCCTGCCCTGTGGAAGTGGGGGGACGGAAGCCACCTCCTCTGGCCCAGGAGACCCTGGGAAGCTTCTGCAACTCCCAGAGACTGCGCAGTTCCTCCCTCTCTCTGGCTTGTTGCCCCGGAAGTGGTCCCTGTAGAAGTGACCCCTGTGGGGCTTGAAGGGCCCGGAAGCTTAGGGACCCCGCCAGGAGGAGAACGCGCACGCCCACCATGCCACCAGGCCCACCACGCCCACCACGCCCACGCTCACGGCGCCCAGCGCACTGCCTGCCGGGAGGAGCCGCTCGTCATGGAGGCAGGTGCCTGAGGTGATGCCCTGTGGTTCCCGCCTCTCCCTTGTGTGGAGGCCACAGGCTCCAGGCCGCGTAGCTGGGACCGCCCTGCGCTGACCTTGCAGGTAGGCCGATGCCCGGGAGAGTGCCCGCCGCCCTGTGGAGGTGGAGGGACCGGAACGGCCTCCTCAGGCCCCGGAGAGTTCCCGCCATCCTGGGGGGGCTCCCGCGGCTCCCCAGCTTCTCTGCTGGGCCTCCTTCTCTGGTTTGTTGTCAGAAGCTGTTGGCTCAGCCCTCGGTTGTCTGCAGGACTCACGGCCGTCTGTCTACGGGTGGATGGGGTTTGTTCATGGGAGGGGGTGAGTTCATCGAACCCCTAGACCTCGTAAATGTTGGCTGACTCTCAGCGGTGCCCCCATCCTGTGAGCTGAGACCCCCAGTTAGCTGGCCTGAGGGACGGTGAGGGGACTGTTCCTGCATCCTCCCGGGGGCTGCCTGTCCTTCCCAGGCCCAGGGCTACACTCGATGTTCACTGGAGGGAAACACGTTTCCTGCTGCTTGGGGGGCGGGGGGTTGTGTGGAGTCACCCCTCCTGGTGCTCACTCTCCCGCAGCGGGCCCGCCAACCAGGCTGTCCGTTTCCCGCTTTTCTGTGTGACTTTGGGTAAATCACTGTAACTTCTTTTTTTTTTTTAATTTGGTAGTTTTATTTTTATTCTTTTCTGTACACTTAATTGTTTGCTTGATTGAATAAATAATGACAGCCCACTTCAGCCCCACTGCATCCCACACCATCCCAGCGACTCACAGCAGCCCAGCTCCAGGTCAAGCTGCTGTTCACCATCTTAGCTGTAGAGGGCGCAGCGTCACTGGCCCTCATATGGGATCCCAGCCGGGGCCCTGCTGCTCAGAGCTAGTGTCCCAAGCAAGCTCTTAACCAACGTGCCACTTGGCCGGCCCAATCTTTTAGTTTCTTTGTATCTGAAACCCCACATTTATACTTTAAATGGAACTGTGTGTTAACAACGCAGTCAGGCTTCCAGTCCTTTAGCTCCGAGTAGAGTCGCACGATTGAGGATTGAGTCCACCCTTCCCAGTCCTGCTTTTGCACTTGTTGTTACAGTAAGACCTCATTAACTCAGATGACACTAACTTAGAATGTATGATAATCCCACGACTGGACCAACGTTTATCTTTGTTTAGTAAAACATGATTTCATGGAAAGTGCAGATAAACCGTGTCAAGTGTGGTGCCAAGTCAGTGTTCAAAATCCTTGAGAAGAAGCTATTTTTCAAGTTCCTGCAAGCATTTTCGAGACATGCATTTATATCTGCCAGGAACCCGTTTTTAACCCAGAACATCAAACCAAATGATTCCTGTCTGCCCTCTTTTCATTGGCCCGGCGGTGTGTGCTTGTCTCCATACTTCCGAAAACAGAAAAAAGTTCATGCCCTGTAGAAGACCAAGTAACCCCCCTTGCAGTGGAAATGACACGCTGAAACAGGGGGTCCCTGGTCCTGGGGGAGCAAGAAGAGAATTGCTCACCACGCCTGCTGCAGCCTGAGGGAAAGGGTACAGGGGAGCCCTGAGGCGGGATCTCGCTAATTCGTGAGGGACAAGCCCTTCCAGGTGAGTCACCATGCAGAGCCGGACACTGGCCCGTCCTCGCAGCAGGAAGCCTTGCAGTTTGGAAAGAGAAACCCGTCTGCAGGACTCCTGCATTTCACAAGTGCCGTAGGTGATGTAAGCCCCCCACTAGCTGAGCAGTGCTGCGCTGCTCAGAAGAGACTGTAACTGACAGCTAGTAAGACTCGCCCTGCAGCGATGCCTGGAACGGACCTCCCACTGAACAGGTGCTTAAGGCACCAGTTTCCCAACCTGCGTATTTTGTGTTCTCATCAGTGTTAAGGAGATGTGGCTGAACTGTGTGGACCTAAACGTGTTTGCAACCCAAATCCTCATGTCTGCAGTGGGCAGAAAAGACAGAAGCCATCCCCCGGTAGGAATTGAACTTGGATAGTGCGTCTGCCCCTTTGGGAGCAGGTTGCTGCTGCCTGCAGGAGGACAAGGCAGGTGAGCTGATTCCAGTTACCTGGGCAAGTGGTGCCTGGCAGCTGTTTGCCTAAAGGGAAACTGCACAATTTCCTGAGAAGATGGAGGCTTTCCACATTCCCTGGGGAAAGACCTCATTGTCAGCTAGTGTCACAAGCCACCTTGTTTAAGGTTGGGGGTGAGGGTAAGGATGCTGAGTGAAAGGGGGCCATACTGTACATGAATGGCTTCTCTTACTGTGTGAATTTGGGGGTGGACATTATTGGAGACTGGGCATCCTGTGAGCGGAGACGGTAAACCTTCAAAGTCCCTGTGAGCCAGCCGGCACCATGCCCCAAGCCGTCCTACCATTGTGAGCTTGTGGCAGGCAGGGATTAGATTCTTATTTTTCCCACGTTCTGTTCCAACTTCCTTCTGTGTCTCGAGTTATTTCCATAATAGGTTTTCCTGCCCCCACCGCCATATTTGCCTTGAAGGTCAAACTGCCAAAGATGCTTGCAGATCTCTTAACTGTCCCACGAAGCTGAAGAAAACAGCCCCTGGTCAGAGAAGTGATTCTCTCCTGGTATGATGAGACTGGCGGCCCCTGGGAAGAGAGCACAGAGCTGGCGGGCTGGGAGTTTCTGATACTGGGCAGCTGACCCTGGCTGGCCAGGAGTTTTGGCCACAAAGTGTGTCCCATCACAAACCATGCCCTCCTTCCCAAATGTGTCAGGCAGGAAACTTGTCAGATGCTTGACATTTCAGAACCAACTGCCAAATTCTAGGCTTAACTGGAAATTTTAAGACTGATTTCTAAAAAAAAAAAAAAAAAATTAGAAACCAAGAGAGACTTTTCCCAAAAAGCTGTGCACACCGGTGTCTGTGGTAGCTTTATCTACGACAGAAAAAAAGTTTCTGGTGGTAAGAGAAGGATTTTGAAAAATATGGTACACTTGCTTAGGTGTGTTCTTCAGCCTCCAAAATGAAACTAATATGATGTCTGAAAGAGAAACAAGTTTATGATGTGCTACGTTTAAAAACTACAAAAGGAATCATGTATGTTACCATTGCAACAAAGCAAATACCTCTGGATACGGACAAGGATAAGAAGGTGTGGAGTACAAAGGATAATAAGAGTTGCTAGTTGTTTCAATAAAATTTTCTTTTAAAATATTACCTTACCACCAAAAAAAAATAATAATAATGAGAGAGAGTTTTCCTGCCACCACGCTCCCTTTGTTTCTCAAACCCCTCGGGCTGTCCTCAGGTCTCTGTGTTCTCGGCATACAGACCTGTAATTATAATTTCACATTTCTTGCCCTTTCTGGGCATGTGGCTTTGATACACTCAGACCCCTCAGCCCCCCCAGCCACAGCCCCCCAGAGGTGCCTGCTGTCTCGGGGTGGGCCTGTCCCCAGTCCAGCAAAATTGCAGCTCTTTTGCCTGCTCACACTTAAACTGTATTTTTCCTGTTCTGCTTGCTCTTGTCACAGCTTCCCCAGGCAAGGCCCATCCTGACACCTTGCTGGATTTTCCACGACTGTGTGAGGATCCTGACATGGAATCTGTTGATTCGCCATTCTGACACGAGCAGCCTCAGAGACTCAGTCCGTGTTCCCTGAACAGCACCCCACTGTTGAAACATGACTTAGTTTTCTTCGTTGTGCTGGGAAGCTGCATTTGATCATGGATTGGACATGCTGAAGCTCTAAACCCCTTTGGAGCCCCTGGATGCTGGCGTGCACCCCTCTCGGAGCAGGCGGTGTGTCATGCATCGAGCTATCATGATTGGTGTTCTCCAGGTAATTCCCCCATCACACCCCAACCAGACTGGGTCTTTGAGTCCACAGTGCCTCCATAGGCACACAGGCACACAGTAGGCCCTCAATAAGTGCTTATGACATTGAGATGACTGGCCCAGGGAGGCCACACCGTGCCTGCAAACATGCCAGGATCTCCTGGTCTGTAGCCGTGCCATCTCATTCTCATCCCCTTCTCCATGCCCGCCGTACTGTAAACCATATCTACCCACTGAGCAACTCACACCCCACTTCCGCTCTAGCACCTGCCTTGGTTTGCCTCTGCCTTCTTCCCTCCACTGTCACAGTTTTGTTCCTGACTGCATCACATTGCTTGTCACATACTCACCTCTCTGCACTTTCTGCTTAGTCACTCATTTATTCAGCAAAAAGGACTTAGCATCTATTATGTGCCAGAGGAGAGGAAATAGAAAGATTAAAGGCGTGAATTCAGTTCAAAAGGATCTTCATGTATATGTTAGGGCTCTTTGCATGCAGTCACAGAACCTGAATCTGGCTAGCTTCGATGAAAAGAGCACTTACTGGGAGGCTGTTGGGTTGCATACAGGAGCGGAGGAAGGCTGGAAAGCACAGATGGACCCCAACTTTTCCAGTCCTTTCATTTCTCCCCTGTAATTCACATTGAGGGGAGGGTGTATAAATAGTCTAGCGTGTGTTATCTCTCCACTAGGGAGGGCAAGATCTGATTAAATAAGTCCCTGAGACAGTAGCCAGTGGCAGAGAGGTGAAAGCTAGTAGCTGGGGGCTGGACAGCCATACGCAACTTATGTCCCTTTCAAGGCACATGCCCTGAGAACCTGGAACAGCCTGGTGGGTGCGGCTCTGGGCTTGGGTTAGACCTGCCACTCACAACAGTCAGGACAGCTGAGCATTAGGCCATCCTCCCCCGGGCACTGCTGGCGTTGGCGCCACCCAAGGCTTACATGTCTCTCGTTGTCCTCAGCAGATAGCAGCATCCCTGCTGGAGCAGGACCACACCTGCTCCTCCCATGGGCTCTCAGCACCCAGGGCAGGAGCTCCGCTCAGCAACCATGTCTGCAGCACAGCTGAACAGGGGCCAAACACAAGCTCCATATCTGGATGGCAGCCTCTCCTCTTCCCATCCTGTGTCTATTTTGAGAAGATGATCAGTCCAATCAGGAAGTTCATTGCCAGAATCAATCAAAGCTTCTCGGTCATCTACGTGGAGGAGCAGCCCCTGCATGGGGCTCTGCAGAGCACCTTGGGGGAGGTCCCTTTTGGGATGAGTCACGGCTCCAAGTATGGCCGCCCAGGTTGCAAAATGATGGATTTGCTGGTGCATTTGGGGAGCTGGGTCTGCAACTACAGCCCTTCTCAGAACCTCATGGTTGTTAAAAGGGACAAAAGGATTCAAGTGATCAAATTCAGAAACCATGACAGGCCTGGGAGAAAGCCCTCAGCTTGCATGCTGCTTTTCTATTGGTTGCCCAGCCTCTTCGGGGAGGAATTTACCTTTCATGGTGGCCCAAGTGCCTTCCCTGCTCGGGAAGGTCACATAGCCACCGGCCAGAGTGGGCAGCGCTTGGGGAGTGTCGTCAAGTGAACTGAAAGGCGTCCAGTTCCTGCTTTGCCCCTGCTGGCTGTGTGGCCGCCGGCAAGTGGCCCAACCTCTCTGAGCTCATTTGTACCTGCCATCATTGAGTGATTAATCCCTTTGCTGGTGCCAGTGGTGAATAGCCAGCACGCGGTCGGGTCAAAGCAGCTTGTGGTAAAGGTGTGTGCGAGCTTCCCATCAGCACATTCTGGTTAGCAAGGCAGGACATGATCCTGGAAATTTATCGTGACAGATTCGGGAAGTTGTAATCTAGATCACATCTCTTGCAAATCATTGCTTCTGAGCTGCTGCTGCCAACTTCCATGATTTTATTTCCCCTTTACCCTGGGTGCACTCGCTCATGCACACACACACACACACACACACATATATGACACACATATAGCTTACATTTCCCCACAGTCTGCAGCTGAAACACCTATGGGAAATCACCAGGCGTCATTTCATAGGCCCCAACGAGCAGGCATTTCCTGTTACATGAAGTTGGGATGGAATTCATTATATTACCTAAGCCTGTTTCCATGCGATTGCAGGGAAGGATCTGCCTGGCATGCTGGCTGTCTAGGTGGCAGTGGCTTTCCTTTGCAGGACGCATCACTCTGCCCCTGCCAGCGCTTGCCCAATTAAGGAACTGCAATTAGATGACAGTGCCAGCGTGCTCTGTGCTGCCCGTAAAGAGGAACGGAGGCTTCATTCTGATGGACAGAATTGGGCCTTTTCCCACTCATTAATGACCTGAATTAGAATGGGAGGCTTTCTTTGTCATTTCCCTTAGTTTCTGTAGAGCTGTAATTAAGCCTCGTGTATAAATTCAGGAGAGTGATAAGTGAAGGGAACGCTGTCACCCATTCTAAGATCCAGACTGTAGGCTGGGCATGCAATAGTAGGCTTTGGTTCTGGAAGGAGATGCCTAAACCCCCTAGCGGAGGGGCTTTTTAAACATGCATTTGTGTAATGAGTAGGTGGTATTCGTGTGTGTGTGTCAGATTCACAGGCTACAAAAGGTACATGGGTGCAGTGGAAAGTTCCAGCCCAGTCGAGTATAGCTCTCAGTCAAACTCAGCACGCGGTTTCCTAAAACGGGACCCCAGCTAATTAGTTTATGTGTCTAGGAGCAACCAATTCTTGTGTGTCCTGTGGCTGGTTTTACAGTTAAGGACAGTGGGGCCCAGAGCAGCAAAATGATTCATCTAAAGTCACACGTCTGGTTGTTTGGGGCGGCTGGGCTAAGTCCCTGCTCCCCACCCACCCCACCCCCACTGTAACACATTCTCACCCATGATACGTAGCTGTCAGCAGCCCCAGGTAAATGAAAGACATTCTTTTCCTAAAATGCAAACTAAAGCTTTCTAATAAAACAGGAGGCTGAAGAAAACATTCGGACCCAGTGCTTTTACTTGGCTGAATGTTCAATAAAAGACACAGGAGATTGGTTCTGAAAGAGACACATAGGAAATTGATTCCCGTGGCCTCGGTTTATAGATGAGGAGACCGAGGATCAGACAGGGAAATAATCGCCCAGCAGATTAACGTTTCATGTGCGTGAACCCTGAGCACTGCTTTTGGGCTTTGCAAACACAGTGCAGTTCCCCTCACCTTGCCCCAATAGTTATCTCCTGGCTCGCCGGGCTGTATCTGGGACGTATGGCTGAGTTCTAATGGAAAATGTAGACGCTCATTGAATTCCTATAATGGTTTTATCTATAGGAACTTGTGAGGACATCTGTTGGCTAGAAGGTTTGGCACCGAGTGTCTGAAAACCTTGAACTGAGAAGGGATGTTTGAAAGCCTCCCAGCTGCTCCTCGAGAAAAGCCTTCTCTGCACTGGCAGACCGTAAGTCCTTGGCCCGTCATTACTAAAAGATGCACCATGAAGTTGGAAACTAAAAGTATAAAAGCAGAAAGTGGTAGGGGTTCAATGGGTGTTGAACCCCCCAAATCCCTTACCCGGGACTGGGGAGGAGTGGAATGCAGTCTTTATTTTTTTAACATATGACTAAATATGCACTTGTTAAAAAGGAAGGGTAAGTGCCCTAAAAGAACAGAAATACTATCTATAGTTTCCAAATCAAAGTAGACCGAAAAGAAAAGAAAAAAAAAAGGAAACAGCAAATATTATCAAGCCAATAGGAAGCAGAGGGGGAAAAACAAAACGGGACGGTTAAAGAGATATAAGTCCAACTTTATCAGAAATATTATTCCACTAATGGAGTTTGAAAAGCTTCTAATGTGCTTTATAACACTGATAAATATATAAACATGTAGAGAGGGCAGAAAGCCGTACACATGGGAATGATACCCAAATTCATCAAAATATCTACCTGGGGAGAAGGGGAGGTACAGCCTTAGATGAACAGGCACCTCCATTTCTCTGGATAAAGCTCAACTGAACACTCATTTGCTGAAGTTGGATAAAACTGCCATTGTAGGTACACAGGTATTGTCTATTCTTAGCTGTGTGTTTGAAACACTCTCAACTCAGTAAGTGTGGTGGGAGCAGGAGGACAAGGACCCCTTCTCCACGTGTGCCCCATCTTTGTGTCCAGAGGAGGAGGACTCTGAGGGGCTGTGAATGTGGGGACCCGCTGCACCCCCCATGGACTTCCCACAAGAGCCAGAGAAGTCCAACTGGGACCCGGGCCCGTGGATCTGAGAGCGACTCCAGTCTCCATCATACTTCACGGGCAAAATCTGTGTGCAAACTTCCCTCCCCGTGTGTAATTTTTAGGAAATCTTGGGCTGCCAACTGGCAGATGAGTCAGTCTGTTGGCCTTCCCAGCGGCAGACACAACCAGAGCCTGGAGATACATGGCACAGTCACCACGTGGGGATGTGGGAGCTACCTTCTGTAAAGACCCACAAAGGCGATTTTACCAGTCCCTGGGGGGAAAATAAGCTTCGAAAGTGTGCCTTTTTGGATAAGCTTTTTAGAGATTTGAGGCAGCCCTGTTAACAGTGAAAATTGCCCCCCCTCCCGACCCCACCTCCCTGAGTCCACATGATCCCTCTCCTGGCCATCCAGACTCCATCACAGTTCCTTTTGTGTAGTTTTGACCAGATTAGCCTTTGACTCAGCAGGCTGAGTACAGCAGCCTGCCCCTCCTCAATGTGGGTGGGCCTCAGCAGCCAGTTGAGGGCCCCAATAGAACAAAAGGCGGAGGAAGGAAGAATTTGTCCCTTGTCTGCCCAGCTGCTTGAGTTGGGACATCGGTCTTCTGCTGCCCTCAGATTGAGACTCACACCGTCGTCTCCCCCGGTTCTCAGGCTTCACTCTGGGCCTGAACTCCAGCCTCAGCTCTCCAGCTTGCAGATGGCAGGCCGTGGCACTTCTCAGTCTCCATGAGCCGATCAGTCAATCGGTCCATCAATCATACATACAGCCTATTGGTTCCACTCCTCTGGAGCACCCTAACTTCCCACATGTCTCTGGCGCTCAGGATTTCACGAGCACAGTGAAATATACTTTGAAGTGAGTTCCCCCTGAGAAGCAGGCGTACATTTGTGACTTTAATAGCACAGAGAGGAGGCAGGGGAGTGTGACACGCCTGATGACCCAATGGCCTGCCGCTGTGTTCCTCCAGACACCCAGCCTTTGCTGTCCAACTTTGCTCTGTTTCTCCACTCATCATATCTGTCCTCCGAGACCCACTTTCAAAACCACTTCTGCTTGAAGCCTTCCCAAATGCCCCCAGGCTGAAGTGAGCTCCCATGGAGCCTGGTCTGCATACACCCTCTAGAGCATCTCGCTCTCCGTATGACATTGTGCTCACGTGTTCACAGCATCTTTCAGAACCATGCCTTTCAGAGGGCCTTGCGGATGGCCCCCCCGTCTGACTGGGTTCTGCATCCCCTGGCATTCGGCAGAGCCAGCTGCACACAGTAGGTACTCGTGGGGTTGTGTAGTTGACCAGCCTCAGCTCTGTTCTCTGCAGCCTGAGACCAGGGATTCCAGCGTCACTTCCTGGAACCCAGGAGCAGAAACGCCAATAGCTTCCAATCCTGGTAATGGCAAACTCAATCATTTGGACCCCGCCTTCCAAAAAGTTGCTATAGGAATACAAGGGGACTTCCTTTATTTGATAAAGAAATTTACAAAACGCGAAGAAAAGGCTGCGGAAAACATCAGACTTAGCACTCTTAAAATACTGAAGGCTTTACCTTCTGAAATAAGGAAAAAGACAAGAATACCCGCTATTACCACGTCTATTTAACATTTTACTCTATTATCACTTCTATTCAACATTTTACTGGGGGCTTAGCCAGCCCAAATGGCAAAAAAACAAAAATATATAAAGATAAGACTGGAAAAAAATGTCCTGCATTTGTAGTCATCCTGATTGTGTTCATAGAATGTCCAGAAGCACCACAGATAAAATATTAAAATTAATAGGAAAGAGTAGCAAAGTGGCAAGAAATAAAATCAATTTTATGTCTATGTATGCCAACAACAAACAGACAATATATATGTTTTAAAGTACTACTTATAATAACACCAAGAAATATCAAGTATCTAGGAATACAGAGAATAACAGATGTATAAAACCTATATGGAGAGAAATTTAAAGAAAATGCAAATAAATGGAAAGGAAGGAGTTAGAAAACCTCATGTTACAAAAAAAAAAAAAGTTCATGTTACAAAGAAGTCTCTTCTCCCCAACCCACTTATACACGTGGATTCAATGCAATTCTAGTGAAATCCCAACAGGGTGATGTTGGTTTTAGGTTTTTTGTTTTTAACTGGACGTTTACACAGAGATGCGAATGGCCAGGAAGAGCCAGGACACCCTTGAGGAATAAATAATAATGTAGGAGGACTGACTGGTCTCCCCTGTGTCAAAACTCATTTATCGAGTCACTGTGGTATTTTCAAGGCGATTGGCAAATAGAGCAATGAATGGAAATAAGGATCCTGGAAGCAGATCCTTGCACGTGCAAAGGCTGGGTTTATGACAAAGGTGACAGTGCAGGGGACGGTGGTCTTTTCAGTAAATGGAACTGGGACAGTTGGGTGGCCATCGGAGACATCGTGTAAAATCTGACCCTCGTCTTACAAAATATACCAAAAGCAACCCAGGCGGATTGTAAACTTAGGCGTAAAAGGCAGTATCATCAAGCTTTTAGTGTGTAAATGCAAGAGAATCTCTTCTTAACTTTCAGGTAGAGAACGTTTGGGGTTGTTTTTTCAATGAGCCATAAAAAGCATTAGTCACAAAGGAAACAACTGATAAAGTAGACTACACTAAAATTAAGAAGTGCCGTTCATCAGGAGACGCCTTTCCGAGTGTGAAGAGACCAACCCCAGAGTGCGAGAACACATACCAGCGAGGAATACTGGAGTACCCAACGTACGAAACGTCTGTATATGGGCAGGGACAGTCTCGCCCAGATGGTGGAAACGGGGGGGGCTACACATCCTCTGGTAAAGCTGGGGTACGCATCCCCCAGGTGATGCAGGCATGTGGGCTGTGGGTTTGTGCTGAGTACCCCCCAAATGGAAAGAAAGCACCCCACATCAGTCAAACAGTAAAGGGGGTGAATACATTCATGCATGTGTTGACAATGGACTACAATGCAGTGATTACTCCGATGAACCTTTAAAACCTAACATGAGCAAAAGAAGGTAGAAAAGTTACTGTTCTTGTTATATGAAGATTGAAAACAGACTCCACTGAACTGTAGTGTACGCATGAGGAGGCGTGCCTGGGTCGCGAAAGCAGGCGTCAGACCAAGCAGTAATGACCATAAACTTCAGGAAGGGTTGGGGGGGCGGGGGGTGGAGGTCACGGTGCAGAACGATGCCCTAGGGGCTCCTGGGTGCTGGCAGGGTTCCATCTTCACCTGTGTGGTGATACAATGCGTTTTTATTTTATAAGAGTGAGCTGCCTGTTCGCTCTGTGGGAACATGAAAAGGGACCGCTGCTGAGCGGCGAGGGTTAATTCCAGGAGGCCTGAAAATGTCCTGAGCTGTTTCGCTGGAGCCCTGGCAGGACGCTGACCCCCCAAGCAAGGCATGAAAGGCTCTGATTAATAGCTGCGTTGTGACCACGGGTCTGAGGCATTTGTGGGAGGTTTGTGCCCGCTTGTCAGCATTGTTTATTGATAATGAGATTGGTGTTGGCGCCTGGTCCCCATGAGAGCCTCTAGAGCTCTGTCTTTGGAGCTGGTTATGCAGCAAGAGCGTGCCTAGGAGAGCAGCAGAGGGTAAGAAACCCTGGTTGAGACTGGATTCTGTACTCCGTGTTCCAGCATGTTCCGCGGACAAGCCGGTGGTTCCCCCTCTGAGACAGCGAGTGGGGTATAGCCTGTACAGAGGGGGACAGTTGCAGTT